TTCTGGGGCACAGCCTCGCCCGGCTTCCGTGAGGTTGAACGGAGCCGAGGCGAGCGGAGGGAAGCACAAGCATTAAACACTGCCGAGTCCTAACTCTGCTACTTTGCCCAGATGGGATTTATAGGGTGGGGAGGGGGAGAAGGGATGCAGATGGAAGAGCTATCTTCGACCATTTCAAGTGTTAAAAATAAGTGAGATATGTGCCTTAGGGCTCAGCAGATTGAACACAGCAATTATACAAGCTCCATGATTCTTCACCTGGGCTTATGCCTGAAAAGATCCTGACCCCTTCTTATGCTACACATTGCAATAGGATTGCCCAGCCAAATGTTGAAAACCTACTTAGTGGATGTCATTTTCCTACACCAAAATAAAGATGCTCCCTCTCAGGTCTATTCCTTCTTAGTTTCTAGCTATTTAGAAATTTGCAGCAGATGTAAATAAAACTTTTTTTTTAAAAAAAAAAAATCAAAATCCAAGCATTGCAACCAGCAGGAGAGCTGTGTAAATCCTCTGAACTTTGTTGACCACGATCAGCCTATTGTTGCAAAAGAACCCTGCCAACTCTCTAGCTCCAGACCATGACGGAGGGTCCCCATAAGCCAGATAAAGAGCAAGGGTACACACTGGAGCAAGGACCACCCGCAGCCAAGCACAGATGGGCACCTACCAGAGTATCTGTGTCCTTGGGCTATGTCTCCTGGGACAATTTCTTCACCAACCAGGTATCAAGGATGCCTGGTTCAGCAAAGACAACAAAGGCAGAGAGATGTGCAGAGCTGGTGTGCATGGGTGCAACACTCCACTGCAGTGGGAGAAGCCCAGCCAGCAGTAGCACTTTAACTTTAAAACATAGCTGCAGCACCGTGCCCACAATCTACATCCCCAGCTCCTGCAAATCAATGCAAACACGTAGACGATTTTTTTTTTTTGAAGACCAGAGGGACTTTAGCATTATCTAAACAGTCTTTCTTGTATAAAAAAGCTGTAGAATTACATCCAGCTACTGTAATGTGAAGCCTAATTACATGTGTTGGACAACTATCAGGCCACTTCAGCACTGACACGCCAGCTTACAAAGGACAAGAAACCGCTCCACAAATTGCAACAGCTTGAATCTGCTTCCGAGTACTGCTCTGGAGACTCAATGTAATAAAGTCTCTTCCCTATAGCCATAGGGAAGAAGTAACAGCCAGAAGCTATTTGGTGACCTACAGAAGAGCGATCGCCTCAGCAGCACATCTGCAGCACATCATCTGCCACTGCGTTTGGGTACCGATGCAAAAGAGGATGCTTTAGACATAAATAAGATGCTTTAGACATGTAAGTAACCAGAAAAAAAAGCAAACAATGCCACACCAGCAGATCCTGAAGGGGAGCAAGCTGATAAATATTTAAATCGCATTTTCCCGTCACCATAAGGCAGCAGGATTTTGTTACCTGTTTTGGGATTGATTACAAAGAAGTTCTGGGGATTTCCACTTGTAATCCGGTAAGTCAGTTTTTCATTAGTACTGGAGTCAGGGTCCTGGGCTTGGATCTGAATGACAGATACATCCTTCGGGGAGTTTTCCATGACGGAGGGGTAATAGATAGGTTCAGAGGTGAGGGGAGCATTGTCATTCACATCCTCCACTTCAATGTAGACTTCTATAGTAGTGTAGAGTGGGACGACACCGTGATCAGTCGCATACACTGTCAACCAGTAGGATTTGGTTGTCTCCCGGTCAAGAATATCTGCTGTGTAGATAACTCCTGCAAAAAAAAAACACACAGAGGGTCTTAGGAATCAGATCAATGAAACTTCATATCTATTTTCACCTGGCTGTACTACAGATATGTGTTCAGCATGTAACAAATGCTGCACTCTTAAAAAACAATTAATTATGTTTTACATAAAATGAAAACAAAAACTTGAGCGCTGCTCAACACTTCACTTCTTTATCCCAAGAAATTCGTGGGAGATGTAAAAAAGATGGATTCTCAAGTGTCTAACAGCATAGTCTCTTCTTTGTTGGGACTGCAGCTGGCAGAATAACAGAAGAAATATCATTTGCTGATGGTGATGCAAACTTGTAAAGACATTGGTAGAGAGGGATATCACCATTGACAGTGAACTGCAGAAGAGAAAGTGGCTTCTCTTTGCAAGCTCCTGTCAGTGCCCTTGCTAAAGAAGAAAATCTAGGTGGCAGTTTAAAATAAATCCATTTAACCTCGGAAAATAGATGATGAATTTCATAATCAGATCACTCACTACAAAACGCCAAAATCCTTGATAACTCGCAATCAAAAGCTCAGGTAACAGAGGCTCTTGGATAAACAGTGTATGCTCTTCTACCACTCTACCCACTGGTTTAAGAAAACATCAGCTGGTTTTCTACCTGCTCCTAAGAAATCATGAGAGAAAGCGTGTTTGTATACAACATAGTTGCAGAGAGGCACAGCACCCACCATTCCACTGAAGCACCAGCCCCACTCTCGCACAGTTCCTGCCAGGAAGGACTTCCATCCACCTTGTTTCTGCCTGAATTGATTTAGAAATCCATCCTGTTCTGGAAATGAACACCAAAACTACAAAGACAACAGGTCAAAATGGATATAGAGCCCCTAAACTAGAAACACCTCTACGAACTGGAAGACCTGCAGTGAAGGTCCAAACCTTCACTGACTTGTGAATGCACAGAGGATCAAGTACACCAGTGCCACACACACAATGGAACCAGCATCAAAACGAGCACATGCATTTTCCCACCGCTTCTGCGATACATATACTAAGAACATTTTTTTCTCCTAATACATCATTATTAAATCTTGGTGATGGATTAATACAGTGTATCTCAAGCTTGAGATACAGAAGAACAGTTTGCAGACCATCAAGTCAAGTCATTAGTAGACGGAAACTGGTGGAGATGTTGTAGGGCAAGACAGGAACATAAGAAACCTGAATTTAATCTCAGATGTGCTTGATGCTACTTAGAACAACGTTATCAGTTAATCACTGGGGAAAGAGGTGCTCTAAGATCAGCAGCAATAAGGAATGTACATGTCTTTTTGGCTTTTTGGAGTTTTTTAAGTATCAGACTGCACTGAAAAATTTCTATGACAGCCTGAAGTCTCAGACAAACTTTGAAGACACTGGAATAGGCAGACAGGTGTTTCAGGCAGACTTTGGGCACTGCTACAGAAGGTGCAGCCTCTGTGCTCAGCCACTCTATAGGAGGGAAATCTCCTTAATGAGGTATGTAAAATTGAGATGTAATTTACCTGCATTATTCCTCACCCTCAGTCTTACAAGTTATGCATCAGATCTGGCTTTTTAAATTCTATGATAGAGCTTCTGATGCCTAATACCATGAACAGCCCCAGTGCCAACCTCACCAGACATTTCACAGCAGAACACATCCAACAGTGAAGTTTACTGGCAAACTAACTAAATTGCTTTTATAAGGGGTACCAGCAAGAGGCAAATGACATAACTCCTGTCCTAAGGGACAACCACCCATGGCATAAGACAGAGAAGCCCACCGAGTGAGAAGAGATGCTGCTGCCTGTTCCCAGGGAGCCAGGACCTGGCTCTCGACATCACAGAATCACAGAACCTTGGAAAGGACCTCGAAAGATCATCTAGTCCAGTCCCCCTGCCAGAGCAGGATCACCAGAGTAGGTCACACAGGAATGCGTCCAGGTGGGTTTCGAATGTCTCCAGAGAAGAAGACTCCACAACCTCCCTGGGCAGCCTGTGCCAGTGCTCTGTCACCCTCACAGGGAAAAAGTTGTTCCTAATGCTTTTGTGGAGCCTCCAATGTTCCAGCTTGCACTCGTTGTCCCTTGTCTTACCAATGGACATCACTGAGAAGAAACTGGCTCTGTCCTCCTGACACTCACTCTTTACAAACTTATAAATATTAATGAGGTCACCCCTCAGCCTCCTCTTCTCCAAGCTAAAGAGACCCAGCTCCTTCAGCCTTTCCTCATCAGCAAGATGTTCCACTCTCTTCATCATCTCTGTGGCTCTGCACTGGACTCTCTCAAGCAGTTCCCTGTCTCTCTTGAGCTGAGGGGCCCAGAACTGGACACAATATTCCAGATGTGGCCTCACCAGGGCAGAGTAGAGGGGCAGGAGAACCTCTCTCGACCTACTAGCTACTCCCCTTCTAACCCACCCCAGGATGCCATTGGCCTACAAGGGCACATTGCTGGCTCATGGCCATCCTGCTGTCCACCAGGGCCCCCAGGTCCCTTTCTCCTACACTGCTTTCCAACAGGTCAGTCCCCAACCTATACTGGCACATGGGGTTGTTCTTTCCCAGGTGCAAAACTCTACCCTTGCCCTTGTTGTATTTCATAAAATTTCTCCCCACCTAGCCTGTCCAGGTCTCTCTGAATGGCAGCACAGCCTGCTGTTGTATCAGCCACTCCTCCCAGTCTTGTGCCATCACCAAACCTGCTGACAGCGCTCTCTGTTCCCTCATCCAACTCTGCTCTGGGCAGGAAGTGGCACAGAACTCACCACACAGTTACAGTGACGCCTGATGTACTTGCATTTGTCTTTCAGGACATAGGTTTTTTTCAATTTTCTTGATTTTTTTCAAGCTTGAGATTTTTTTTTCCATATTTTTTTTTAAATGCTAGTTTGAACTGACAAGTATTTTCTGACAATTTGATCCTATTGAGAGGAAGGGTAATGGAGCAGTACCAATTCCAGTCTTGTTCAGACTGAGGTCTCAAAGGCCTTTTCCAACCAAAATGGTTCTACAATTAGGTCTTCTGCTAGTAACATCAGATCCACGTCCTTCTTGCTCAGATACATTATTCACCCAACAAAGGTGAGCAACGCAGCATTGGAGGACAAAGGCAGAGTGTATTCTAAATACTCTCGTCGGCAGCAGCCTGTGCTATGTAATGACTTTCTGTAGAAACATGGGTGAAATATGTAATGAACTGTGATGAAAATGCCAGAAGACAAATTACATCCCAGGGATGAGAAGAGTACAGAATAAGTGACACCCAGCAGAAATAAATAAATAAAAAAAATAAAATATATGTGAGTAAGGATGAGGCAAAAAATTACAAACATTAGTGCTCCTAAAGCTATTGATTTATTCAGAAAGCAAGAATTATTTTAGAATTTTAAACAACATTTGACATAAGTAGGGTTTTCCCCCAGTGAGAACACAGAAGGTTTTAGCAGATTAACCTCTGTTTATGAAGCTGAATTTCACGAACACTGACCTGATAAAAAATCTATCTTCTGAGTCAGTCCCTCATTTTATGACTCCTGGCAACAGTTACTTTCCGTTTCTGTATTTCAGAAGGAAAGGATCATTGAACAAGTGTTAGCAACTGCCAACGGATCTGCTACACTGGTTCTTCTTTTTACTTTTGATTTATTAAAAGGTCCCAGAAATAAATTAATTCCTTTTGCTCAATATGTCTTGTCATTTCACCTGTCACCACCACACAGCAGGTTGATAAATAAGAAGCTCTTTGTTCATTTTCAGGTTTTCCACATGGAAAATCCTCCCATCACCCCAGGAATACCTTCTACAGTGTTCTTAAACATCCTGCACAAAGTGCCTCCTTGCAGTCTACCTAAATAGGGGTCCAAAGTTAGTACCCACAAGAATACACATGCTGCCTGACTATTTAATCAATCTCGCTATGTGGGTATGAATGACACCTTCCAGATGGATAGCAATCTTGATCTTCATATGTGCTGTTAACTCTGAAGACTAATGACGACACTTAATTATCAGCACTGTTTCTTCATCACTACAGCATGAAAGCAAAAAGACTGCTCTTATTATAATATTTCCTGTGGCAGCCCATAGGTAGGTTCTCACTCACTTTAGCTGAGTGAAAGTATGGGAAAGGCCAGGAATACCCCTGGGTGAGACCACAACAAATTCAGAAAAAGACCTTAGTTACTTCAAAGCCTATGGATACAAACAGACACTAAATAAAGATAGAAATTTGTTTGCAGGGTCAGGAGAGCAGAGGGGAATAGAGGCCTTTGGGAGCAGCTCTAAGGCTTTTCTTTGACAGCTTTTGTGGTGCACTCTTCCCCGCTGTCTGCTAATTAGAAAAGAAACATGAACACGGTAATGACGTCTGAGCTAAATAAAATCAAGAAGTAAGAAGAAACACCCGCAGAGATCCTGAATTCAAAGCGATTAAAAAAGGTTCCAAGATTCTGCAGTCGCATTTCTGAACGAGACAGAAAAACAGATGTTCCTGTCCGTCGGGATTCTACACCACGGAGGCACTACCGCATTTCTGCTCAAGGCAGCTGAGATCCAACCAAAGAGTTTGTAAACCAGCTCTGTACGTTGCCCTCAGACAGATTTTGCAGCATCCCTGAAGGACTGAAGCCAGTGCTTCCTCAGGCCCAGGAAATAAAGCCAGTCATCAATCCAAAAAGCGGTGCCACCGATATGCTTCGCCACTGCATTCCTCCAAGTACATCTGCCTCATGCAACTCGCCAAGCACCACGTGCATTATGAACACTCTAAGTGTAAAATAACAACAGAGTCCATTAATCTCTGATTAAAATACTAGGCACATTTATATGGAAATTAAGTACAGCCCTTGGGCTTGGTGTTGTGCCAGCAATGCAAAGGTTGTGTGCTTGTTTCTCTTAAAGGCTTGTTTTTCTTCTTTCCCTGGTAAAATAATGGGGTAATGTTTTGTGTATGGCTCCCGTAAGTGGCACACAGTGAAATGCTGCATTCTGAAGCGTGAAGGCAAAAAAAAA